GTTCAACTTGCACATGGATGGCAATTAATGGTCAAAAGATCGATTCACCTGTACCGCGGCAGTTTTACCTTACCTGTGTGCTGCAACAAACAGTAACCAGAAGGTCCTTTGACCTTCGCGTGTCTCTCACTTTGAGGAATCGTCCGAAGATCGTAACACATTGCGTACGGGTCACGAGATATCTCGTATGTTGGATTAACGGGTTAAATAAATAGCGTTCACTGTGAATTTACTTAAACGTGTTTTACTTCTTTGTCGCGGAAGGACGTGTTTACGCTTAGAAAATCGCAGTCGAAGTGAAAGTGAAAAACTCGTAAGGGCACTTGAGAAAAAGAGACCAGGACTGCCTCAGCCTTTTACCCAGGTCACTTAGGTATAAACAGTTACAGGCCTATGGGTAGTGATGGGATCGATATTAATACTGTTGATGGTATTCAATCAATTCGATACCAAAGTACTTAATAGGAAGTATCGATATCTATTGAAATTTTAAGTACTTGGTATTAATTTTCGATACTGATACTTCTTGAATCGATATTTCCCCTTTCCTTCTTCAAAAAAAAAAAAAAAAATACACAAGTTTACATTGCGTTAGCGGAAGCGTAATTGCACGAAAGAAGGCTGTGCAGGTGCGACGGTGATTTACGGTGTGGCGTGTCGTTCCTCGTACGCGAAAAATAGGGGACGAAACGGGGCATGGATTGTATTGCCTGTTCAAATTTAACTCGGTAGGAGGGCGAACCGCGGGTTAAATAACGCCATTTGTTATCGTAATATCTAATTTAGCGTTGAAGGGTGATGCGCTATGGCCATGTGGCCGTGATCTCACGAGGGCCGCCGCGGCACAGGTGTCTTAGGAACAACAGTTAGCTAACTCTGCAAGTTCCACCAGGTGTACCAGTAAGAAGTAAAGTAAATCATTTTCACTCCCAACTCGTATCGTTCACGATTTTTCGAACGTTAAGCCCGAGAAGTTTCTTTAACCCTTCGACAGTCCAATAAAATTATGAATTGCTGTAAAAAACGTGTTAGACTAGAGGAAGTTCTCTAGGTTACCGACGCGCGGGCGCCATGATGGTATGCTGCGTCTCGTGGAATGCCTCGGTTGACTATTCAATTGTTCTTGGAGAGAATCGTGCGCTGCACGTTTTATATTTCGTGTAATGGACCCTTCGTTGCAATAAATGTGTGCGTTTGTGTTATCACCGTACAACCGCGTCTTGTTACTTTTCCCTGCACCCGAGCCTCGCGCTTAACAAAACGTTTATATCTCACAGGTAGGTTTTTCTTTAATAACCACGCCAGGTATGGTGATTTAAGAGAAGGGATACGCAACCCTACGTCATACTTATGACAACGATATCTCGTCCCTTTCTAACTTTCTTCCTAAGAGTCTCTCTTGAGTTGAATATTTCACGCTTTGCCCGAATCTCACACGGGATGAACTGTCGAGGGGTTAACTACGTGTCGTTCTATCGGGTCGAGTAGAAAGTTCGTGTCGATTTTCGATAGACTTCGAATATGTTGGAACAAATGAAACTCGATGAAACTATACGGAAGTTCACGTGTGTATTCTGAAAGATCATTTTCTCACGTGTCTTTTGGAAGTCTCTGTTCGTTACACAATTACCACGTTTCTGCTCAAAATTACCTTACATTTCACAGAAAAAATTCTGAATTTCACCTGTTCGTCGCTTAGGGAGAAGGCAAAATCAGAGGGATACGTACTTAAGTAGTTGGGTAAGCAGAACTCGAGATATACATGTATATCGGTGAAGAGAGTGTAATCTCCGTGTGTGTAGTTTCCAGGACGGCGATTAGGAGGATTAGACCGGAGGTCACGCGGAATCATGGGGCATCGAAGGGGGTTTAGGGGCGAGTTCCGTGGGCTCAGGAGGTCACATGACGTGATGTCACGTTACCTGCTGGTCGCGGACAGGTGTTTGGGTTCGCACGAGCAGAGACCAAGCGAGGAAGAACAGCGGGGGTGTTCGCTATCGCGAATCCAGCCACATAATGATAACGAGCGACCGACAGAACGACGAGAACTTGGCGAGTAATGTCGGGACACATCGGGGACTTCTCCGCCCCCCGGTTCGTTGTTTCTCCTTCTCCGGAGGAGCGTCGTAACTCGATCGTATCGATTGATGGAAAATGTGTAGAATTTTGTAGACATTTTGCTTCCTTTCCTGGGGACGAGAAGAGTTGCTTCTTACGGTGTTCATGCTGTAGAAAAATTGAAGAAATTGCTTATCACTCGAGGTAAGACTGCGGGAAAAATGGAGTCGAAGTCTCTGAAGGAACGTGTTTTTCACTGTTTTCGAAGATTCGATGGAGTACGATGTGTAAGAGAGTTTCAAAATGGGTTAAATTAAAGCTTGAATATTGTACCAAAATTCAGAAGACAATATTTTTCATGTTCTCTATTTGAAAAAGAAGGAAATCAATTTTTCGATACTTTCAAACTAAACTGATCCTCTCTTCAATCGTATTTAGAAATATCCCGAATATTTCGCTACTTTATCGTCGAAATAACAAAAATTGAAATCCCGCGAAAAAACGTGTTTTTGATATAAGAGACTTTCAAAATGATTCCAATGAAACCTTCAATATTGCGCGAAAATTCGAAAGACAAAATCGAATACTCCCTTGACACGATCGTACTTAAAACCATCATGAATATTCTGTTACTTAAATTATCAAAAGAAGAGAAACACAAGTCGAGTCGACGAAGCTTCAACAAGTATTTTCGCATCGTTGGAAATGTTTGTTCACCGTTTCTTGCAGCTGATACACGAGCACGAATGTGGAAGATCACGCACAAGCCAGTGTGTGTCTTGTACACCTGAAAGCGACATCATGGCGAGGGGGTCGCGTGTCCGACCCTTAATTTCATCCATCGTTTACCATCTTCGCGTAGGATGCACGGATTCCTCCTTCCATTTCCACCCTCGCGCCAAGTCACGTATTCGTGACGCCCGTTGTTTCGCAACTCGAGCAAAGTTATCTCATCAAGTCGTCACGGGGACTACCCCCTTCCTCTTGCCCTCGACCGAAAGACGCGATTAAACTTTTCTTTGCTTCGCCTAATTTACGCCCGGTAACTCTGCGTTCCTTTTCCTACTCTGTGTTCCGTGTCAGCAGGTGTGTGCTGATTAGCAGGTTTCCGTTTACGTTACTTCGTTTACGCTTCCTTTTGTGCGGGAAGTATCGCCTGCGATCGAGAGATTAACGCGTGTGTTCTCCTCCTTTGGTTTGGACTGAATTTTTTCTTCTTTTTTTTCAATTTTTCGAGTAACGTTACGGATGTATCGTTAGCTTCGATCTTTGTGCATTGGGCGAAAGAGGGTGACAAAGATGTTTGGGTCGTTCTGAAGCTCTACGCTTAGGTTGAGCGAATGTTAGGAATATTTAGTTAACCCTTTGACTGTCCAATGTAATTACGAATTAGAGTGTATAAAATTTGTATTTTACACGTAGTATTCTTTTTGGTAATTACGTCGTGTGTGATTATTTTTAAAGCAGAGTGTACAGAACCCTGCGTCACAGGTCTGATAATAATATCTCGTCCCTTTCGAACTTTCTTCCTAAAAGTCTCTCTTGAGTTAAATTGTTCCTTATTTAACCCTCTGCCCGAGTCTCGCTTGGGATAAACTGTCGAACGGTTGAAATTCTCTTCTTTTCCTTTCTTTAAGTTTGCTCTCTCACTTTACACAGGGTTTCTCCGAAACCAAGGTATTTAGGAGGATTTGTCTGAATTATATTCGAACGGTGATTTTAAAAAATTGCACTGTCGACGATGATGAAGAAATAGCTGAAAAATTCGATCGTGTTAAATTTTGTAGGATCTCCCCGACATATTTTTCGATTACTGCAAAAATGTTTCAAATAGAAATTTTTCGAATAATTGTTACCTTCTATATTTTCAGTCTTTGTACGAAAATTCATCGGACCAACGAACGATTTAGGTTACATAGCGAAAATTCATGGAAAGAAGAGAAGAACCTTAAAATGCCACGTATCAATTAATCGGAACACTTTCGTTTCTGCTACAAGGTATTGCAAAACGGTACTGTGATCCTTCAACAGTCGAGCAACTTAATCATTTAGGCTGTTTTTGGTCCGGTTGTGGCATGGAAAAGGTGTACGCAACCCTTTCAGTTCCCAGGCTGTTGGCGAATTGTGGCTTACCGCGCTGGCACGGTTCTTATCCGCACTCGTCCAGGTAATTCTTGGCCAGCCAGCTGCCAGTTGTTATCAGACGCGAAACAACAGTCCACACCTTTGCCAAAAATTTCCAAGGAAAACTGTGGAAAAAGTGAAGATTTATCTGCAACCTGATTTCAGCTCTCTCTTTCCTTTTAACTCACTTTTACTAACCAGAATTTTAGGCACAAGTTCTTTATCTTTGGAGATCTTTCTTTTGGAAGGAAAGCTTCTCTGAACGAACAATCAGCAATTCTATAATACATGGTGTTGGAAAAGAAACGTTAATACTTGTATCGAAATAAGTTTTTTTTAAAGAAATGGAAGTGATTCTTGGCAATCTTGCAATTTTAATCAACTGCACAGAGAAGAGAATATATACACTTTTTTTTTCAAGCACCCTGTAATTGTAGAAATTAATTACTTCGTCTGATTTATTGCAGATTCTTGTAAAACGCTTTTCTGAATGTAACAGTTTCTATTTTAGAAGAAATTCTGTTTCTTCTGAAATTTTTTGGTAAAATTAAAAATCCTTCTTTAATTATTTTACTTATCTGAAACATTAAAGTGGCCTTCTTTAATTATTTTAATTATTTAAAAAATTAAAGTGTCCTTTTCATCAATTCTTTTCTCATTTAATCATCATGTGCATTTTTTTATTCTTTCATTTTCTCTGCCTTTTCTTTTCGCCACCAAGTCGCTTATGTCAATTACCCTAGATTACACGAATTCGTCAATTATCTTATACATTCTACAATTCTACCCGATAACAATACTAAGACTAATTTAAAAGTAACCTTTGCAAATGTTCGTATTAGCAAAAAAGTGGACCAAATGTATCGTGATCATACGATAAAAAGAAAGGGGAATTAAATTTGATACATTTTGCGTAACGCCGCGTAATTTCATTGTACATAGTATACCGTTATCGGACGATATTACATGACACAGCGGACTCGATAATTCGTGGCGATTCGCAGTATATACAGTGTTACTGTCGGAAATAAAAGCGTGCCGCTTCCGCGTCCACGAACATACATTTGCTCGGTAACCGCTTCTTATTAATATTTTAAGCCCGAGATCCTCCTCCCTTCAGCGATCAAATGCTCCTCCTATTTTCCTCTCCAGGCCAACACACCGCCCCCTGACCGTACCATTATTCGCTGTGTAGTGTTATTTAAATTGCAAATCGATACTGACGCATGGAAAACACAAACGAAACTCTCCCTCGTGTGTATGTACACGTGTAACACCAATGAAAGATGAATCCGATACGTTTTTGAACGTGGAATGATCAATTTTTTTCTTTTCTTTTTAGGACTGATTAATGCTTGAAATTATTTAGTAAGTCATAGTCGATGTAACTATTTCTTTGTTTTTTATCGTCAATCGTCCACTTTGAAGAGACGAAGATGATTCTCAAAATTGATCTAACATCTTGAGAATTGTTGGAGTTTAGAGAAACGTAAATCGACGAATTTTCTGTATTTTTTCAACCTACGAATCTGACTGCGTAAGCAGAGATTTGAGAAATATCCTGAATATTGTATAAAAAATTCGCAAAATAATCAGTCTGAACTATTCTGAATATTATCGTCATATTGCTTGTTTCAAGACGATACAAGGTGTCTCGAGAAGCGACAGTCTAGATTTACAAGCTTGACGCAATGTAAAAGTTGCTTTTCACAAAATTTTGCGAACTTCGTCTGTAAGTTGATATCACTTCAGTATTCGGTATGAAGAATTCGGCGGCGCAGGGAGAAATATCGGACGAAGATGCGAACAAAATGCTCGACGAAATCCTCGAGGAGGATAAAAAGGAGAACGAAGACGACGATTACGACGACGACGCTGATAAATGTGAATTTTGTGCAGCTAAATGTGCAGCAGATTGTGCACAAGGAGATAACGTAAATTCCAAAGCAAAGATTCGAATAAAAATTGTCCTTTTTTAAAATAAAAGTTGGTGATGTTGAACAGATTCTGGTCAAAATATGACAAAAACAGTTATACTAGTAATAAACAATTAACTTTAACTTTCACTTGAATTTATCAACCTAAGAATTACCAAATTCAATTACTCTAATAATACATTGGCTTCTCCTACCTAATACAGTATTAAAACAATAAACAACTAACTCCTAGACGCGTACTTAGCAGAAAAATCATATGTCAAGGGGTTGATACATCTCACACCCTTACGTATGAACAATTACAAAAGACGTTTAAATAAATAAAATCGACGATAACAAACTACTACATCGAAATGTTAAATTACAGACAAGTACTTATATACAGCTATGAAATTCGTCCGACAATTCCACACAGAAATTCTGCGAGTGTGTACTCATCGCGGAGAACTCGTCGAGATTTTCCTTGCGCGTGATGGAGGCGATGAGGTGGCTACAGAACGAGGAGGAAGACTCATCGCTGCCCACCTCCTCCGTCGAGGATATCGTCGGCTATATCCAGGCGAATTATCGCGACGAAGGTGACCTTTACGCTCAGGTGCGAACCGTGCTGAAACAGGTCTGTTCCCAAGGGTTAGTTGCTGCGTCAAAGGTAGCGAAACAGCCGGTGCAGGCGAAAATTGTGTCTCGCGTGAGACACGATCGTGTTTCAAGGCAACTGCAAACCGTTTATCTCGCTCCTGTTAAGCCTGTGCTCCGCTTGTTTCGCTTGTACAGAGAATCATATCCCTCTCGAAGCCCAGCAGCGTTTCGTCCTTTTAGCATGTTCATGAATGATCATTCTCTTAGTTGAGGTCGCTGAAAATAAAGAAAATTCTGTAATAAATCGTCACCGAGACGTAATTTTCAATCTTACAAAAGAAATTTTATGTATAATTCATCTAACCTAACCTCAAATATTTCTGCTACTTTTAAAATTTGGTAAAAATGTCTTCTACAGAAATTGCATTCTTATTATTGTTCGAGTGTAGTAACTCTGTTGCCATCTTTGCCTATTCACCAATTCTCTGTCTAGGCAAAGTATACACTCTGCATCTTACTTCGTAGTTTGCCAGGTTTTACACTCTGTCGGTAATACGTCGACGAAATTGACAGACAGATCCTCCTCATCCTCACGAACGAATTTCCACGATAGATTTGTCATGGAATTACTGAAGAACGAGTACTACTTAATCGGACCGGATGCCATCTCGATGAACCAAACCGCTTGCTCGAATGCTCGAAAGGATCGTTCGTTGCCTTCGTCACCTAGAATATCGAAGCGTCGTAGAAAAAGTAATTACAACGATTGCTCGTGTGAAACTCCGTTCGAAGAATCAGGAAGAACCTCGCGAAGACGAAAGAATGAATACGAAGATGATAACGTGGCTGAAGAAGCGCCAGAATGCTCGTGCAACGTGACCTTGACTGATGAAGACGTGGATGATTGCACGTGCGAGGCTGAAATGCATAGAAGTGGAAGAGATATTTCGTCGAGGCGAAATAGGCTGCAAGGAAATGGTGATAAAGAATTGAGTGAAGAAAGTGAAGCAAGAATGAAATCTCAGATGAATAATTTTAGAAGGAGAAGATCTACGCAAGGAAGCAGAAGAACGTCAGAAGTGAATGACAGAAGAACAGAGAATGGTGAGTTAAACGAAGAAGAGTCGGATAATGTGAACGACGTTTATCAAGAATTGCAAGATCTCATTCCGTCAGTATCGAGAAATCACGTGGGAGAAGTAAAAGAATGGATTAAACGTTGCCAGGAAAAGTGCAAACAACGAGCGAAACGAGGAGACATGAATAATTAATATTATTCAATTTGCTTGTGATTCTTGTAAACATAACCTCAAGTTTAGATTGAAACTTTCTTCTGACGAAACACTCTTTTTATTTGTTTCTTCTTCCAGTTTTTATAGATACGTATAACACTGATGTTCTGATTGTAATTTGAGGATTTTGACGATTGGTTTTATTATTTGTAAATTTTTTAAAATATGTAATAAATAAATTTCGTACCACTTTTTCTATTCATATTCTTTATTTTTTTTTTTTATTGTTACGTATTTCGATTTATGGTGTGTTATTCTTGGTCGAATGTGTGACGTAATGTCATGCACGGAGAAAGTCGTAAAAATTGCCCTCTTCTATCGGTGGGAATTAAATATCCGGAATACACAGCAATTGAAAGTGCGTTACATATGTAAGATTTTAATCCGTTATTCTCTGAAGGATAACAGGTGGGTTAAAAATAATTTAAACGTATTAAGTAAGAGGCATAATTAATTGTAGGTTTAAACCTGCGTTCGTGTATTTGCGTTTTGGATGAATAGTTCTCCTCCTTGCGTTTCTTTTACGGAACCTATTGCACGCATTATTACGCTGTTTCCGAACACTATCGGTATATGCAGTTTTCCTTAAATAATTGTACACTAGATCCGAAACTGTCGATTTTTGATCCTGTAGCCGAAGGAGATCTTGTTCGGGATTTCTATCATTTTTATTACGGCGCGCCAACCTATTCGTTGTTTCAAATGATTACTAAGATTAATCGTGAATCACGTTAATATCGCTTACTTGACTTCCAGCTCTTTAAGTGTTTCTTTTTTTATTATTTTACGCCGATAACCTTCACTTTTCGGTGTCATTTCGATAATTCTGCTGCATTTATTTCATTGGAAGAAAATAAACTTTGAGAAGAAGGATTTTCTAAATAAATTTGAAATAATTATTTAATTTAACGTTACTTTTGGAAAATGAAAATTATGAAAAAAAGAAATGCAAATGTCAAACGAGAAATTTATTCGTAACCCTTTACCAATAGATGATACAAGCATTTATGACTGTATGTAGTTCTATCAAGAGCTACGCATAGCGCTGTTAGAACAATGACAATAGTTTACATCATGGTGGTTTTTTAAGTGTCAACACTAATCAATCAGAAGAATAATGTCTCATAAGGTGGTATTTTGTTATATTTGGAAAGAATATATTTTAGTTGTATGTTTCTACACTAACCGCGGTTGAGCACGTATTGATTATTCATACATCATTCGAATTTTCGTACAAGATCATTATAATTTCACGAACGTGACATTTCAACTTTAGAGTGCACATTAATTATCAACCTCGAATCTATTGACTTTTACGGACAGCATGCAAAAGACACATAAATGCAATAACATTAATATAACACGTATACTACTAGCAAGATTTTAACAATTGAATAAAAAATTACATTTTTTAATTCTTATGTAGCAATCAAGAAAGTATTATTGTTGTATTTCAGGGAGCAATTAAGAAGGTTTCAACCACCAGAGATAGACAACAGTCAAGTGTTAGAACTAAATCGAAAAACTCATCATCTAAGACAGATGACTCTGAAAAAGTAGAATTGAAGTTAATAAGAACATCTCAAACTCTTGAGAAAAAGAAGGAGAATGAAAGTTACTTAAGATTAACACAAAATGTGCAAGCAAGCAAAAGCAGTACAAAATCTTCAGTTAGATCTCCTAAAACCGTGCCTTTCAAAGAAACTTCATCTTTAACATCCAAATCAAATGTTAACAATTCTAGAATATCATCAAAAAGCATTCTAACATCTAAAACATCAACTGATCACTTAAAAACATCAACTAGTAATAATGCCATAAAAAACAGCAAAAGCAGCAGTGGAAGAATACAGAGTAGTTATTCAGAAAAAAGAGGTCTAAGTACAATATTTGTACCACAATCAGCTTTAAATAAACTTAATACTAAATTACCTAACAAAAATAATATTTCAACATCAAAAAGTCAGGAACAAGTTAGAATACATTCAAGTGCATTAGAAACAACTGAGTCTAAAATAAAATCTAGACAGCGCAAATTATCTAGGACATTAAGTCCAAGTGAAGTAAAAATGTTACATTCTGCTATAAGTAGACCAGATTCTTCACAAACATTAGATCAAACTAAAAAGAAGCAACTGGAAACACCTCAGATAGACAATGAGTATAATTATGAGGATGATTTTGAGGTGAAGTATAAAACTTCATAATAATAGTACCATACTAGATCTGACTTAAATCATTTTATAGGATTATGAATCTGATTTTCAAGAGTGCACAGACAGTGAAACATCTGAAGTTAGCGAAGAAACAAGCAACAATCATAGTAATTTACCACTGGACCCAATTGAATTACACACTGCAAAACAAGTATTAATATTTACTTTGTTATAAGATAATATTGAGAATGGGAATTTCTTTTATTTCAAGTTATCACTTTACTGTAGCCAAAAATTGTAAATAGTGCTGAACATAAGGAGGAAGAGCATATGCATGATTCTGGTCATTATGAACTTACTGAAGCTAGAAAAAGAGCAGCAAGAATAGAATCAATTGCACATGATCCAAAGCTATCTTCACTTCTTGAAATAAGACAACCAATTAATAAATCATATAGGTTTGTTCTGAGTAAAATCAAGTTTCAAGACAATTAAATAGTTTTTATTGTACAACTTGTATCATTTTCTCATTAAATAATTATACAGTTGTTAAATAATTGCTAAAGTAGTACTCATTTTAATAATAATTTTATATGTACACGTACACTTTTTTTATACAGTGAAGAGAAATCAGAAAATAAGTCACTACCATTATCTACCGATGAAGGATTTGAAGATAGTCGTTCCGGTGATTTTACAAAGTCGCCACCGATTTCACAAATATCGTTTATCGATTTTCGTAAAATTAAAGAAGAACAAAAACCAAAAGTAATAAACTTAAATTAACACGAAATAGTTTAATTCCCTTTACTAATAACTATAATTACAATTGTTTTTAGGAATCAAAGAAAATTTTAAGTAGGGGAGAAGAACTGTTAGAAATGATAAAATTAGATGTTATGGAGTGGTCTCTCTTAGAATGTTCACCTATACCATATGAAGAATTTATTAGAAGTTATGGAAAATTGAATGCCCAACAAGTATTGTATTTACATAGTAATAACAACATTTAGTTATATTAATTACGAGATTAATGCATTTGATTTTTAGGTATCCACACAAACTGGTGAAGATAATATTGATACAGAAACGCAAACGGAGGAAATTATGTTTAAGAATAAATGGACTCAGTTTCCAATAACATGTAGAAAAGATTTAAAAACCAAAGAAGATTTAGATTTATTTCGAACGGTATGTGAAATTTAGTTGCTGTTATTCTCATAAATATTTGTAAAATACACAAAATTTTTAGGATCAAATTGGAGTTGGGAGTGACAGTAGCACAGAAACTATGAATTTCTTACCATTACTATCCTTCGATATATTACGATTAAGTGATTTTATGAATCGTGCAGGAAAGGTAATGTTATCGTTATTAGAAGAGAGACGATCTGGTGGTAATGTATTTAAAAATGAAGAACAAATAGCATTCAGCGACGGTGTTGTCAGACTTTCTGTAAATTCGGTAACATTTTTGGCTGGCAGAGCAGTGACAATAATCCATTATTCTGAAGTCTTAAATAAAATCTTAATGACTGTTCATTCTCCAGTCGAAGAAGTAAGAACTATTGATTGGAGAGTGGAATTAAATGCAGGAGAAAAAATAATACATTAACATTTTTGACAGGAAATTGAGACGTCTAACAAACAGGATTATATTACTGATTGTTGCATTGGATGTGTCTGGAATACTTCTGAACCATCGACGCCAATAAAATTATTTTATTCCACCTGTCCCATTACTGCATGTTGTTTCCATTTGACGAATTACAATGTTGTATTTGCGGGTCTTCAAGACGGGTATATTATTTCTTTCAAAGTTTTTTTCAAGTATTGTGAAATGAATTTTAAGAAAATTGACGAACATTTTGGATGACAGGTCAATAAGTCTCTGGGATTTAAAAGAAGATGAAATGTGGCATCACAAAATAACAGATAAAGCCAATGAACTAGATTGGACAATACGAATGCCTACATACACAACAGCAACAAAGACAGAAATAAATACTCAAATTTCACAAATTGTTGCAATCCGTATATTATCTAAAATTGAAGAAAAATCGTTAGAACACCGTAATAATAAGTTTGTACCAATACAGGTTTGTTAATATTACTGCACGCATTATTTTATATTTTGTGATGGGTATAAATTACTAATGCTACTGTGTTATTTATAATAATAGATATGTAGTTTAAATGAAAATGGTTCTCTTATTATATGGAGCGTTTTGCATAATATGGGCAAAAATATCGACGACTTAGGACTATCGCTTTGGGGTAGTATAAGACTTGTTAAGAGTCAAGAGCTGCTTTTACAATCTTCTAAAAAAAAGTAAATATTCCTAAATAATTTGTGTACCATATAAAATACTGATCTTATTAAAATCTTTTTAACCCTTCAGAAATATCAGTGCAGCTGCCTTTATTAACATGCATGTAGATTGCATTGATACTAATAATCTTTATATTGTCACTAACAGTAGCAGTATTTTGCATGCTACCTCCATTGGTAACAAAGCTAACCCTGCTGTGTATACAAAGTTGGATACTAGTAAGTTATCAATCATATATCCATTTTAAACCATGCATTAATAATTTTCTCTATCTGATATTCTAGATCCTTCTGGAAACGTAACTTGTATCGAAACATGTCCATTCGAACAATCATTTTTTCTGGTAAAGTGTTTTATTCATATTTATTATTTCTAATTTTACCGTATCTAAAACATTTTCTTATCACAGGTTAGCTGTGACGATGGAACAATTCGATTACATTCTTTAAATATCGAAAAGCCGATTTTACAGTTAAGAGACGAAGACAATACGTGTGAAATTAAATCGATACAATGGTCAAAGACAAAGCCATTTTTGATTTTTGTACTAGACAATAATTCTTGGTAAGAGAAACTAAAAAAATGAAAATCGATGCAAATAATTTAAATAATGTTTTTCGTATTAATATTTTAGCATACATATATGGGACTTAAGTAGTAGTGATATATATCCAACATGCAAAGTAAACATGCAAAAAAATGGGTGTATAAAATGTATGCAATTATCATCCTGCAAAACAAAACGAGAAATGTCTTGCCAATACTTGGTATGTTAAATTGTTTGTATGTTATAATTTATAAAACTACAATTTGTACTACTTTTTTTAGGCGCTTGGAATGGAATCCGGAAACGTTGAAATACATAAATTGAAAACAAATTTTTATTACTCTAAGAAAGAAGACTATTTACAAGAATTAAATACTTTTATGCAATACGTGAAAATTTTATAACTAAATTTTATCTTTATGTTTAGATATACACCTACGTTTTCTAAGTGAATTACTATTTAAAGGACAATCTTTTAAGTACAATATGTGTGTCCATTCAAAAGTATTTTTGAACTGCAATCCATATTGCAATAATTCAATAAGCAAGAAATCGCAATTTGTACAAATCTATTTATTATGCACGTTATTCACATTAATTCACAAAAATGATGCCGTCCATAAGTTGTATACAAATAATAATTTTATAATGT